TGTCAGACATGGTCCAGTCGAGCCCACAATTGCGCTCTTGCATCCAACCTATTGCCTTCAATGCATGACTCCCTTCCCAACCCCCCACGTAACAGTCCACCTACAGTGCTATATTTACACACTAATTTATCAGCTCCCACCTCCAATGCGCAGCTACCTACCCCACCCCGAATCATCGGTGGTCGAAACTGCGGCAGCTACAATCACTGTACAAGACGTACGCGGTTCTTACAGCTGATGATGATGATGACGATGTTACGGCCCAACACCTGACCGTCCGGCAAGTGTGCGAAACGGTTCCGAAAGTTTCATTTGATTCCTGCGTCCACTTGCTTCATAATGGCTAACAAAGGTGCGCACGTCTTGCGTAGACATGAAAAGCGCAATGAAAGGCAGCAACGAACAACTACATGGTCGGAGTCTACCCTGATGTCCCAGAGGAAGCTGCAGACAATGATCGACCCTCGCCACCAGTAACTGAGGTTCAGGTGGTGTATTTGGATTTGGGACTGTTTCATTGATAGGCACCACGTTGTCAGGTGTCGTAAATTGGTGTTGCAGCGGAACAGTCTGCGACACATCTGCACACAGTCTGCATACATCTGAAGCAGATGAACTCTGCTATCCATGCATCTCATATCCAACCAAAGACGACCACACAATTGACCCTCAGCACCACTCGGTCTGCATACTGGAGCGTACATGCCACCAGCAACCACAACGACGTATGAGCTAAAAGCTCGTTTTATAAGATCACCTGGAGCGTTACAGAGACTGTTTGTGGCAGATTCACCGCTAACGCCCATGGGGGCGTAAGCAAACCAAAGGTGGCTGTATTTAGAGCACGAGTTTACTGACAGGAAGGTTCGCAACTCGAACCCGGTCTCTGCATGTCGACTACTTTTGCCTAAGCTTGGACAACCTGGAAGTATCTCAACCCTCAGGCATCCCTCGGATAGCATGGTAGCTAGGCAGCGAAAGGATGTTATCGAGGAACGACTTTTATCAGCAGATATAATATACAGGGTGAAGTGGATCTCATCTTCTGGAGATTTTTCCACAGATATTTTGGTACGAACAACGCAGAGACTATTACCAACGGGTATCTAATCCAGTAGAGACGCTCCTGCTCAATCCCTCAACATACTGCCTCCTCTATACCAAGCTGCAGCGGCCCCTGCACTGTCAATTTGTCGAAATATAGGTAGCTCTGGTGTGTTTACTGGTGGCTGATCAGATGGCGGTTACCGTTTCCTCGACTGGGGACGAGCAGATCAATCACCAGGCTTCTGCATTACTAGACATTTGCAGCCACAGCGTAGTAGGAAGAGGATGGGGAGGCGATCTAGGGCTAACTTAGAATAAACATGCGAGATGCCTACTCCAACAGCACTCAGGTGGACAATCTGGACAGAAACTGACGTGAATGCCACTGACATGTTGGTCGCCACATCCTTCATTGTCTCCAGTCAAGCACAGGGAGGCTCGTGTCATCCTACGCAGTTTTAGTGGGTGTAGGATGCTCCACAGATCAGTTGGTCGCTGCTGGCCATATTCGGTGCGCACTGCACTATAATAAAGGGGTGCAAAGCCGAACCGAAAATCTGATCGCTCTTGAAACTCATGAGACACAATTTGATTCATCTCCAAGGCCAGGTTGCAACCACGTTGACAGATTCATATGACAAACTAAGAACACCGAGGCAAGGAACAAAAGTCATATAAGTGGATATCGATGCAATAAATAAGAATTGTTTATACTTTCCCAGAATACTTACCTTGTCATTTAGTATGAAACCGGCGACGTACGTCAACGCAACCACAAGGTAACATGCTGACAGGAAGATTATTGGGCGCTCCGGGTATTGAAAGCGCGGCATGTCAATGAGAAAAGTTAGTACTGTGAACAGAGTGGAGGCAGCACACAAGCAGCTCCAGAGACCAATCCAAAGTCTCGAGAAACGGCGCGAGGAAGAGTCACTGAACAGAAACTCATTGCATGGAATCCCGCAGTCAGGTATGACTTGTCCACCTTCCATCCGTATTCGGAAGTCAAAACTGGGAGGAACCTGAAGACATGAAATGATTGGTAGTTCGTTTACCCGCATGTGTGCTGGACACGTGAAGGAAGGTTCTTTCGGCGTTTGTTCGGTTTTATTTTCGGATATACATAGCGAATCTTCTGGAAAGCGTGCACAATCCATAACTGGCGGCCACTTTAACCAAGGTTCACTACAAAAATGGATAACTCACATCATACCGAAACCCGCGCATGAGTGGTTCGCAATCCCGTCTGTTTTGCTCGCACAGAGAACGGCATGGCGGTAGAGGCTTCTTCATTCCCGTGCACACAGGGAAGTACAAAGAACACAAGAACAACTTCAATGAAGGGCTGCACCGTATTCTGATCAGCGAAGCATACTGTCCGATCTCTTGACCGGCCTCTTCCTGCGTTGACTGGCCCATATCGTTGGGAAATATGGTAATGTTATAGGGCAAATCCTGGCATGCCTTGATGCGTATTTGCTCACATTTAGGTGTCTCCGCATAGGGATCCTCAAGACCTCGTTGTATATAGGCATTGTTTGCGTGCGCAAACGCAGAAAAGAAGAGCAAAATGCAGAACCTCATGCCAAATACTGACCTGAACGCCGCGCCTGATGAAGGTCTAAATGTCGCGCAGGATTTTCAAGGTCAGTTTTCCCACTCCGTTCGCTTTCCATGAGCTGGCGAGCTCCACTGGGTTCTAGCGGTTCAAATTCAGTCTAAATCAGGGTATAGGGAAGCCTTTGGCCTATTATTTGCTTTTCAATCGAGCCTAGCTGATTCACTGTACATAAATAGTGACAACCAGGTATGGCTTCTTCTCTTTTCCTGTGTGGAGGCGAAAGAAGCTAAAGCAGCGTTAGCCGTAGGTTTACTCGCTAATGATACCACACCGCGCACGACCACAACTGGAGGCCAGGTACTACAGCAGCCTTGTACGACTCAGTTTCCCTGATGGTGTCGAAGGAAACGTGCAGGTGGCCAAAAATATATCAGTTAATGTTTTGGAGTCTGACTTGCGCCAAACTTATTCTGAGACGTCAAAAAATCAGCTTAGACCACTGAAACGACTGGTGACTGCGAATGTTCTGCGGTGAGCGTATTTCCACTTACTACTTCTGCCCAGCTAGCTCTCTAGATGTGAGTAACACTGAATGGTTGTCTACTCTTCAGACGTCTGTTCTCTTTAGACATTTTGCGGAAAATACCCCGGTGTCGGAAAATCAGTCCAGAGTAAACCAAGCAACATCAGAACCATCCGAATATCCTTAGGCTTCCTCTCATGTTGGCGGTAATGGTGAATAGTAAGATGATTGCTTTCAAATACCATGGAAGTATGATATAGATAAGACTATGAAGAAAGAGAATCTGGGGCTGAGATTGGTGAGGATAAAGATGACGAAGACGAGACGGGTGAGGATGATGAGTGCCGATGATGTGAGTGTCAGATAAGAATGTCGGTTGTAGGGTGCCAGCAGGGAGGAATTACTGTTTAGATTGATGTGAATAAAGGGTTACTCCAATCCAATAACTAAGCCAGCCTGGCTGTCAAGTCAGAAGAGTGCTTGGCCAAGTCAAGTCAGCGGAGGGAGCTTTTCTCATCAAAGGAGCAGAAGCTTTATCAGCATGGTTTTCTTAATAATGTAGGCCACGGCAGCGGCCTCAGGTGTTGAGAGTCGCTCGTAGCCACACAAACGTTTTGTTCGTTTCGTTGAATGTCTGGGCATTTGTAAGAAGCCCAGAACACATGTGGCCATAGTCGGACATTAAATACTTGGGCGATGCTGTGCCGAGCCCCTAATCAAGGGGTCAACGTCTCTCAACGCTACTAGCAGAAATAGCATCTAATTAACTGGACTTGGCTGAAGCGAGCCACACTACGGATCATCCTATTTAAACTGTAAGGCTCAAATAGCTAGGGTTGTGCTTACCCGTAGCACTCCGCAGTTTGATAAATTAACAGCAGTGAAACATATATCATTACAATGCATGCAACGGCATGTTCTGCAACAGGTATGTGACATGTTAACAGCGCTCAAGTCAGCAATTTTGTTAAAGGCGAACATAAACTTCGGTAGTTTCAAAACTTGCCAAATTGCAATCTCGTCAACAAGAGGATGCATTGAGTAACATATAAATTGACCGTATAGTGGTCACCGCAGAGGAGTATGAGAGAGTCAGATACAATCTAGACTCTCTCTCCCGCGATCAGGGGTTGACCGACGAATCATTGTCTAACTTCATCACTGACATGGATCGTATTTTAATAACCGTCTACATGCAGGTGTCTTCGATGGTACAAAGTCACTTGACGTGACGTCTTCAAGTCACTTATTATCATTGTGGGGACATACCGACATGTCAAGTGATGTGACCGAATACGCGGCCGTACTTACTGAAATGAAATGGATAAGTAAAAGGAAAGCGGAATAACGGCAAGCATACAGCAATAAAACCGAACCAAATAGTTCACCAGAGTGACAGGCTTAGGGCTTATATCTTATGAGCGTAAGGCTCAGTTCCCCCTTCGTGGACCATGAAATTAACAAACAGACTGTACTCACCAGCATTGGTCGCGGTGCGTTTCTTTTATCTTAGTATAAGGAATGGAATCCAGCAGAAAATATGGTGATTATTCAACAATTATGGCACAAAGTTCAAACGAAACACAAAGACTCCGGGGTTTGTGTGCTGTCCAGAGTCAAACAAGAATGTAGCTTTCTGGTTTTGCACTGAGACAGGTCATGAAAGTTTGCAGTCAGTGAGCCACTATAAGGGCTAGTAGTTTATTCTCAAGATGCTTCTCACTGCTACAGAAGCCCGGGTAGATGTTGAATAATGCTGTCTGCCTTGGAGGCAAGTTAACCCCGTCATGCATCAGGTTCCCATCTGTCCGGAAAGAGAAGACAAACGTAGTCGTGTAACTTTGAGGGCAAGTTCTCAATTATTTTCACTCATCTCATGTCTGAGGTGAATGATCTAAGGGTTCTAAGCGACTTTTCATAAAAGGAGCTTCCTAAAGTGTTGGTTATAGGCATGGAAGCAATTTTCTTAGGAATTTTGTATGTGGGTGTCCAGGGTGGATGATTTAAGCGGCATAATTGGGTCCATTAAGAATGGACACAACTGTCCGATATACTCTGCGTCTACCCCTTGCAGAAATGCTTCCGTAAGTAGGTGTTCTGCTCAAGTGGTCGGCAAGGGAGCATGTGACTGTATGAGAGTGTATGTGATCAATAACTGGAGCTGTGCTGTGGTCTAAGAGCATCAGCTCACCCCCGATCTCGCTGAGAATGATTTCAAACTGATCCACCACATGCAGCTATTTGACGCTTGTCATTGCAACCCCGAACACACAGTAACCCAGGTGGCGAAAAGCTCTGAAGTGGTCACAAAAAGTAAAACTCACATCTAATTCCTTGTTTATAAGCCTCTAGTGGACCTGTTTATGCCTCATTAACTGCTCACAGAAATACAGCAGATGGCTAGAGAACAGGATCATTCCCCGACTGCCTCAGCAAGGCGTAACTTACCGCTGATGGTATGCAGATTTGGTAGTGATTGACTGTGCATTTATCCGCGCATAGTGAGTCTGTGAAAGGGCAGGTGAATTCCGCTCACTTTCAAAGCGAGCTCAAACACACCAACTGACATCTTATTGGCTAGTTCCCATTAGGAAACGCGGCTTCACCATCCTTAGAGTGGTCCATCGCAGCTCCTTGAATCCACCTAGAGACAGGCTGAAATTTACTTGTGAATTGGACCTGGTCTTTCAAGGCTACCACTAAGGATACCGGTTACCAGCCGGTGAATATGATTACGCCAGGACATTTTGAACACAACCTTGCAACTTTGGGACGGTTCAACGCATTGTGGATATTTCGGCTCAGGCCGTAGTAGGATGCCTGGGCTTGTGTGTTGATAAATTCAATAGGCATTACTCAGAACGCTATCCGCCTCCATTTGACCTGGTTCTAAATAACAACAGTCACACCGTGGACCAGGTTGTGCTGGTATGCCAACTAACCAGAATTACACTGCCCTTCGTTTTGCGCCTTCTTGCTTTAACCGACGAACCTGTGTACTGAATGTTTGACAAAGTTTGCTTTTATGGAAAATGTTATTTCACTCTCTATAGTGCTGCCAACGTGTATAAAAACAAACTAAAGCACACCAAACTAAAGCACACACTGAAACACACCTCTTAGTCCCCAAAATTTAATAAGTCATTAAACAACAAGGAATTTTATAGAAACTATGACGTCTTTCGGAGAGTAGTTCACAGCATTTTGAACTGCTGATGATGAATCGGTCCTTAGGCAGAAGCCAGAATGATGCAGAATATGAAATGGTGCATTTTTCCGGGGGGAAACGTCAAGCCTTCCGTCAGACTGAAAGTATGCTTCAGAAGTACTGGCGACTGCCCCAGAGACAGGGTCTGCATTTAAGGTTATTCACCAGAGCAAACTCGTGATTAGTTCGTTGTGGCGAGACTGTCCCAGGTGCAACACTTTCTCTTGAGTTTTTGTGATTCTGCTTCAATCACTTAGTCATTCTCAATTCCAAGCCATGCATATCCACCAAAAGGTGTGAAATCCGTGAAACAGCCGCTTGTTTTTTGATACGGGCTTCAGCCAACTAGCTGTGATGAGGCCTCTGTTGCACGTATTTTCAAGTCTGACGGCCGTTTGGATCCAGACAGTTATTCACCCACCGGCCTTACAAGTCTACCAGACAGACTGGAACAGACGGAACGCATCCCGAGGCAAAGCTGCCCGAATCAGTCTGTCCCAAAGGTCTAAAACTTCTAGTACAAAGCGCCCAAATGAACCTGGGTTACCAACCTCAATTACCATTAGTCAGCGAAACAAGGTTGAAATAATTGTTTGTGTCCGTGAAAACAAACTTTCAACCAAAATAATGACTGCGCTTAAGGACCTCACCTGGTTACTTGCACTCTATGGTCCACGATTTTTGCCGGGTTGGAAACCGCACTCTACTTAGGCAAGCAAGGATACATATACAGCCATGAACATATATGCAGCATCCAAATATAAGCAACTTATTTTGGCTATACTTGGCGTAAGAAACATCACGAAGAAGCGCAAAGAACCCTGAGTTTGTATAAATGGGCATGAAAATCCTGCCGTCACTGGCGCTGAGGTTTGTTCGAAGTTAAATGCATTAACCGCAGAGATATGAATAAGGAATGCATGGTGCGCTGTTGCCGCCAATCTCCATCAAGCTAAAGGTGTTGCAATTTACTAACCGGAAACTATTCTGTCAACTCAAAAATTGATAGCGAGATAACAACGCTTTTAGCCCTTTGACCATTCAGGAGGCGGAAAAAGCACAGAGAGAAGGGGTATCAGGGGCTTTGCACAGATTATTCTAGTGAATTAATTTCTATTACGATGGATTTGACGTTTTGCAACCATACTGTTTTTCCTGTATAGGTAGACAGCAAATTTTCATTGTGTGCCAATGCCATTAAAGTTTGCTCTAGACAAAGATGCCTGGCGCAGCGTTTAACATCTACAGTGGATTGTTGAGGATAGTGGAGATCAAGACGTTTTCAAGAACCTTAGGTCTTATCAAGCGGAGCGTTT